TCAGAACAACAGGTTGTGTGCCTGGTGGAAGGCCAGAGACAAAAGTCAGTGCCCTAAATGCTGAGCTAGCCAAAGGACAAGCAGGTGCTATATAGGGTTCCATCCACTCCAATAAGATTTTCCTAGTAAGGTTTGGCCCTCCACCGCCCCATTTGCAAGACCTCTGCTGTCATACCAGACCTCTATTCCTGCATTACAGAGGGTGCAAAGTGGAAGAGTTACAGGTGTAGGATATGAGGTGGGGCATTTGCTGGTACTGGAGACCTTAATGCTAGAAACAACTCACCCAATGGTCAGATAAATGCAGAACTGTAGCTAGCAAAACTGATTTTAGGGCTAACAAAGAGTACAAAGAGCAAGCATCTGACATATGTAAACCATGCCACATAGAGTAAATAGGGATGTAATGTGAAAAGACAGACCAAATGAGAAAGAGTAAGATGCTCATTAGCAAACATAAAAACGCACCCAAGTGGTTCCTAGAGTGAGGAAGAATCACCATCATCATCATACTGCTCCTGACAAAGGATTTGGGATGCACTACACTAGAGTCATAAATAGCTCATTTTATACAGGATAACTACTTGTTACTACTAGATAAAGATACAAAAATCATGCAGAGTTACACGATACAAAGATATGTGAAAGTAAACCAAATTAGGCATAGCGTAATTTCTAAGGTCATTAGAAAAACTGCTGTTACAATTAAACCAAATAAAATCAAAGCTCCAGGCAGGTCAAGACAAGAACAGACAAAGCATGTTTGACAAGCCCCAGTCCTGAGTCCTTGCAAACTCAGTACAAAATCTGTGGCTTGTTGGTAGCAATGACAATACTGTATTTAGTGGGCTACAGCTCTACAGGTTCCTCTTTTCATGCATTCGAAGCCATGGAAAACTAACCATAGGGAAGTTCAACAGAAGGATTTCTATCTACCTGGGGGTGCCCCAGCAAGTTGGGGTCTTGTGGTTAAGGGGTAACCTTAACCTTTTATTTTTCTCTTTACAAGATCTCTAGGTATTTACGTCCTTCTTGAGCTCTTGGGAATAGAGATCATCTTTTGTCATGTCTGGACAATTCCTAGCTCAATACAGCAAAATCTTTTAAAATATTAATAACATTATTATTAATAGCAAAGTCCTATAGCTTAATAAAGGAATTTAACGTGACAGTTTAAGAAAATAAGAGGCGGAAAAAGAAAAAAATATTTTTTAAAAAAATAAGTCAACACCAAATCAAACCTTTTCAGCAGCTATGCTGATTATGGTCCTGACTTTAAGGCTCCAAGCCAAACAGAGTTTGACCACTTGGGTCAAACTCTACATTTACAGGTCTCAATTACAAGCTAAACAGGGATCTTTCTCCATTAGCCAGTCAAGGAATTAAGAATATAAAGACTTAGTCAAGATATGTGAACTGAGGTTGGGGGTTTTATTATTCTAATTAGGAACAGGAAAATTCCTATTCCATTTTGTAATTAAAACAATACACATTCTACCATCTAATTATATTTGACATTTTCAAGGTGTTGGGAGCTGAAGTCTATAATTACAGAACTACTGCTGCCTTAAGCAGAACACTCCATAAATATTCATATATTAAATAGCCACTTATACTGTTTAGAAGATTTTAGAAACGTTTGCTTTTTTTTAGAAATGTAAGACTTTTAAGAAGATGCATTTTATATTCATATTTTAAAAAAGATAGGAAGAAAAATGTCCTGTGGGATCTGACACACTGTATATAGCAAATTGACTATAAACCTATTCATTAGTATTGTAAGCAGTTACATTGGAGATTCATAGTCCTTTAGAATTATTTCTTTTCTTTTAGTGGAATGGGTAATTACAGTCAGAAATAATATGGGAGTCCTGTAGTGAAGTCATAAGACAGTAAAATGCAATTCTCACGATTCCTTGATTTTGTAATTAACAATAAAATTATAGCTTACATACAGTAGTATATAAAAAAGTTATCCACATCTTTTATTTTAGTGTCTCACAATAAAATCTCACTTCATATATTGCCTATTTTTGATAGTCCAATATTGCCATTTCAAACATTTGACTGCCTATGAATACCACAATCAAAGTACAGGTGGACTTATGGGTAATGCAGAGCTTGTTTTTCAAGGACAGTCTTTCCTTTTCTCGACATTAGGAGAATGGAAAAATACACAATGAAGATGAAACTCTTGAGTGCAAGGTGTTCCATGAGTCTGCGTGCTCTGTGTTTCGATTCTAGGAAATGAACCTTTTGGGACATCTAGATAAACAGGCATAATTCCTGAAAGGAAGGGCAATAGGCACTTGGCCTATTTTGTCCATTTAGCTCATTGGAATAGGTTTGTGTCCTGTTATAAAATGCTTTGCCTCATGGGACCTGGACCCTGGTGAAGTCATTAGGCATGACTTTCAAACAGTTAATAACAAAAGACATTGCAAATGTTTCAAGAGTTAAATGCTGTATAGCACTGAAGTCGCAATACATGGGAGTTCAAATGCTGTGCAGAAATTCAGTGTGCCAGCAAGAGCAGCAGAGACTCAGTGCAAGCTCTCCGCATGCCAGGGCAGCATGCACTGTGCCAGCCTTCTGGGCGGGAGGCCCCTTATCCCAAACAGGTCCACAGTCTATGCACAGGCAGGTGTGGAGAGAAGGGCACCCAGTTCGACAACAATCTTAATTATTCCCAGAGTACAAAGACTTTTGGGAAGTCCTCTTTCACTCCTGCACATCTGTATGATGACTACAAACAGTCTAGTCCATGTTGACTAGTCACGCATGCTTGCATTATATCAGGAACTGCACCCAGTAGGAAATAGTCTTACATAAGGCATCCAGCTAAAGAATGGGACTTCTTCCTCTGACCAGTGGGAAGCAGGACTCAATTTAGTCACACTGTGCATAATTATTCCATACATATTATATGTCAGATTATATAATAGTTACACATTATATATTCACATAATATATGTATATTATATTGCATATGTTATATAATATACATAATATGTATATGTAATATAGTATGTGAGTGCAAAGATACATATATGTTTGGGTTATATATATCCCCACACTACTTACTGAAGCAAACTTGCTAGATGCCTGGTGTTATTTTTGTAATGCTCATACCGCTTAGGGATGCCAATACACATTCCCTCCCTTTCTACACAACCACAGCCTCTACACTATGCGACATTACAATGCAATCAGCTTGAACACAGATAACCAGACAGGCAAAATTCTTCCATTCTCCACCTTCTGCAGATTTTGCTTAGAACACTTCGAGGATGCAACTCACCCTCTTCAAATCTGTCCTTCAGCATATCAAAGATAAGCTGTTCTTTTCGAACAAAAACTAAGCGGTATTTAAAAATGTTTCAGTGAAATTTAGCTAGAACCCTCCTTTAACCACCGAGAATTACATTTTATGCACAAAAGGTCTGCATTTTAAAAGCCCAATGTTAAAAAATCTGAAGATGGCCCGTTAATGCAAGAAATCATTGTCCCTCTGCCATATATAGCAGGTTTTATTAATCATTTTTTCAATATATATTTATCCAGCTTTACCTCAGCTTTTTTATTCCATTGTAGAATGTGATGAATGACATTGATTTTAATCAATCCGTTATTTTTGTAAATGTGTACTGAATATGGCAAGAATAATATAATCTAAGTATGCCCGAAATTATGTTAGGACAATCCCTATTTCTCATAACGTGAGGTGCTTGATGTAAAAGAGGAGGGTTTTTTTCTCAAGAGATGTGATACAGCCTTATCGGATTTTTATGATTTTATCTAAGTGAATCTATTCAGTAGTTGCAAGCTTTTACTTTTCAGCTGCAGCTAAGAGTGAGGAAAAGTTAATGTTATAGCCATATTAAAAAGAATAAAAGAAAAGGAAGCAGATATGCAGTTCACATCATATTACCCATAGGTACCTTCATTGCAGTAGAGACACAGGGAAGGAGTCATTGCATCTCAATGGAGAAGCAGGCAGTTGTTTGAATGTTGCTTTGTTCAATGAGGACTCTGGGAAATAACAAACAAAAAATATTTCTGAGCGTTTAGTAAGAGGATACAGAGAATAATCACATGCTGCTGGTCACCTCTGAATGCCCTGATATCCACCCTGGGGGCAGGGCTGCCCTGTCTGTTCACTTATAAACCAATGTCTTCAAAATGCCTTTTTAGTGTTTCTTCTCTTGAATGACTTCCTTCCACAGAGGCTTACTGGTTGACTCAGTGCTTTCAGGAGCTGGTGGCAAGCTGGGTTGAATTTATCCCCAGAGGGGCCAGCTTCGCTCTTAATAAATTACTGGAAGTAATTGTGAAGGGTAAAATCACTAAATAGCTAGAGGATAAAAGAATGGGGAACCATAGTCATCATGGTTCTAAACAGATTGAGTCTTGCCAAAGTTAATTACTTTTTTGACAGAATTACAAAATGAAATGTGCAAAAGCAGAACACTACATTAGCAAGTATTTAGATTCTAGGGAGGCACTGGATACTGTTTTTCATTAACTATTACTTTGAAACTTAATGCAAACTGGCTTTGATATAAACACTGTCATGTACATGACACAGAGTTGCTAAAGGACCAAAAAGGGTGATGATGAACAGCGGAACTCTGAGGCCCCACATGGGAGAGTGCAGTCCTGGTACTTCCTTTAAAAAAAAAAAACAAAAACAAAAACAAAAACACAAAATCAATGTTTGTCTATTAATGATTCATAGATGAAAAGGCTAAATTATGTGGACTGAAAATTGGATCAGGTATTTTGACTAGCTTGGTAGACAACAGGGTTATTTGATATCAACTGAATAGTATTATATCTCTAGAGAATTAAATATTTAAAGATGGTTAAACGGGTATGACAAGGAGCAGTGAGATGTAAATAGCAAACATCACAGAGATTTATTAACAGACTGTGTTGTCTTTGCAAAAGCGTTGCTATTCCATTTCCAAACAGTAATTTGTTGCTTGCTTCTCTTCTAGTTGCCCATATTGGCATCTTCTGTTGTTAGCCTGTATTTTCTTGAACTTACTGATGTCTTCAAGCCTGTTCACTCTGGATTTAATTGCTATGACAAGAGTCTGAGTATGCCATACATTGAACCTGCACAAGAGTCTGTTCCCTTCTTGATGTTGCTTAGTCTGGTTTTTGCTGGACCATCAATTACGGTAAGTTTGAGGTGCCACTGTCACTTATTAAAGATTTTGAATAGAATTTCAGGTGCCATAAAGGAAATAGCTCCCCTGGTTTCAGTTAGACTGCAGAGTGTCATCCAGGCTAATTACCTTAGGATTTTAAATTCATCTTTTATTCTTCTATAACAGGAGACAAAGTCCTTAAAGCATTCCCTGTAGCACTTCATCTACTCACACTATCTTTATTGTGGGAATTCATGTTAAGAAACAGCATCTACAGTCGCGTGAGAATAGCTTGAATCATTCTGTTATGCTGTACAAAGATTTGAACTTTTGCAGACAGGGCATCTCCATACTCTGAGATACACCAAAAATTCAAGATTTTGTTGGAAATTGAAGCCTTTCATTTACAGCCCTGAACATGCCACTTTTGTTAGAACTAGCTTTGTTCAGTGAGAAGGTATATCAACTGTGTCAATGAAATCAGTTACACTTTCCCAAATAGCACTGGGACTCCTCTAAATTGTGAGTTAGTCATTAAGAGCAGGCAAAAGGAGGCTGGTTTAATCATTCACCCAAAGGGAGGAGATGATTTCAGCAGAACAGAAATGTCCTGTCAGAATATGAGCAGTTTGGTCACTATTTTACAGAAGAAAAAATATAAATTGTCCGATACAGGTGAGTATTGTCCCTGCTGAAATTGCTGTCAAATTCAAATGAAATCTAAAGACTTTACCTTCATATATATATTAGAGGGAATTCATTGTGTCTGATTTTAGGCAGCTCAGACAGGAGCCTTATTCTCACACCACTCCTGTTTGGCAAATAGAGAGAGAAATTCACCTTGAGTGAGAGATTCCATCCACCTGAAAAACTGTATCAACCTTCTGAAAGGGTCTCTTTTCTCCCCTGACAGCAGTGAGAGCACATCTCCGTTGTTAGGCACTTCTCTAAGGCAGCTGCAAATGCGTCTCTGCTGCCAGCTCCTCTGAATTCCCTTGAATTCAACCAGTTCATTCCTTTTCTAATACTAGCCAATTTGCAATTACAAAATCTATAAAATGTGATGCCCATATAAAAATCATCAAGTGCTGTTCTCTGTTTGCTTTCCAGTATGGGTCTTTTTATTTGTCTTTTTTGAAACTGAACTCTTCTTACTGTGTTTGATTTTGGTTTCTTTAGAAACCATTTTGGAAGGATTTTGCACAAACATCAGGCTAAAAATTGTACTCATTTAGGAACTGGGAGCTAAGACTCTCAGTGTTCCTGGTGCAGACACTTGCAGCAAACACCAAATACTATGATAAAAACAAAACTTGTTGGTGTTGCAGTTTGGCTGGGTTTCTTAAGTTTAAACAGTGTTTCTGATAACAACAAAGTGGACCTTCCTGAGACAACCATAGAAGAAATCTACATAGGCTCACTTGGGCCACAGTAAAGGAGTAAAAGATGATTTTTACTTTGGAGAGTTTATGTCAAGCCTAGGTAATATCAAATACCTTCAATTGAGATGAAAGATGCCCTTTTCATTATGAAGTGTTTATTAAGGGCTTTGATTACAGCTAAATTATTTCAGCATTGCATAAAATTTTGCAATAGACAATGTTATTCTTGCTTGAATCATTCTCCTACAAGCAGTACAGACAACTAACCAAAACCATGCCACCTGAGGAACTGAAACCCACACTTAAGCATGCCTATCAAACATAAGATCAGTAAAGAAAATAAATCCTGGATCTTCAAAGTACAACTGCTTAAAAGCTACAAGCCTTAGGAAGGTGTAGTTCATTTGTATTAGTGTGAGCATGAATGTGATGTTTGTATTAGTGGGAGAATGGGCTCTGATAGTGCAAAATATCCAACTTCCTTTAATAAAAGGCACTGAAGATGGTGTAGAGCATCAGCTCTTTATTATTCAATACCAATTCTGAAGTAAAAAACTAGTGGGTTTTTTTTGTCCAATTCTTCCCTTTTTCTTTGGAAAAATTGGCCAATGAAGCTCAATGCAAAAAGGCTACAGTTGTGCCATTGTCATCTTGTAGAGTTTAACATTTTATAATATAGACTTCATTAGCATTTCAATGAATTGCACACTTTATAAAACGTATAAAATATAGAAAAGAAAGCATGAGCTACGTGAGGAATTGAGGATCTCCAGCAACATGGCATATGCTAACCTCTGTCTGCAGTTCGGATACTTACTGCAGTATGAGGCAGAAGGTCATCAAGACTCAATAAAATACAGGTGTGATTAAGCCACATTTTAAATATTACCAAAGAATGCAAATAAGAAAA